ATGAATGTATGTCTGTGTATGTATGGATGTCAGTGTCTGTATGCATGTATGTCTGTCTGTATGTATGTATATATGTATGTGTGCCAGTATGAATGTATGTATGTGTGTATGTCATTATGAATGTATGTCTGTGTGTATGTATGCCGTTGTCTCTATGTATGTCAGTGTGTATGTATGTATGTGTCTGTATGTCCTCATGCATGTGTGTCTGTATGTCTGTATATGTGTGTATGTCTCAGTATGAGTGTCAGTATGTATGCCTACATGCGTGTATGTCTGTTTCAGTTTGTGTGTCTGTTAGTATGTATCTGTGTGTGTGTATCTGTGTCCTTTTGTATCAGTGTTTGTGTCTGTGTGTGTGTATTCCTGTGGGTGGGATTTGGAGGTGGACCCTGTGGGCGGGATTGGAGGCGGGCCCCAGGGGGCCCAGACCCTGAGCTGAGTTAGGGGCCCCACAATTTCTGGTGGCGGCCCTGCCTCCCTCTGTGTAAATTCTGTGCGCAGGGAACACTCAATGGACACACCAGTCAGGTATTGAGCTCAAAAAGTGTTTGAGGTATAAATCCTTAAGAACGGCGGGCATGCTATGCTGTCCTTGGGGACCTGGCTCTAAACGCCGGTGGGCAGCATAGCACGTCCACACCGTCCTATTCACTTACCTGCTCGCCGGTGATCACAATGGGGGGACTTACCCTCATCAGCAGGTCTTTAAGTTTTCCTCACTTTCAGCTATCAGAGTAGTATCATCTGCGTATATGAGGTTGTTGATATTTCTTCCAGCGATATTGATTCCAGCTTTGCATTTATCCAGCCCAGCCTTACATATTATGTATTCCACATATAAGTTGAATAAATAAGGTGACAATATACAACCTTGTCTCACTCCTTTCCCGATCTTGAACCATTCTGTTGTCCCATGTTCAGTTCTGACTGTGGCTTCTTGGTCCACATACAGATTCCTCAGGAGGCGGATGAGATGATCTGGTACTCCCATCTTTTTAAGAACTTGCCACATGTTGTTATGGTCCACACAGTCAAATGCTTTAGAATAGTCCATGAAGCAGAAGTAGATGTGTTATGGGCAAATGCAAATATTACAAGTTTTAGAATGAAATAACTGGCAAGTTTGGCCTTGGAGTTCAAAATGAAGCAGGTCAGAGATTAGTAGAACTCTGTCAAGATAATTCTCTGGTCATAGCAAACACCTTCTTCCAACAGCCTCCAAGACGACTCTACACATGGACATCACCAGATGGACAATATAGAAATCAGATTGACTATATACTTTGCAGTCAAAGATGGAGGAGCTCTATACAGTCAGCAAAAACAAGACCTGGAGCGGACTGTGGTTCGGACCATGAGCTTCTCATTGCAAATTTCAGAATTAAACTGAAGAAAAGAGGGAAAACCATCAGACTAATCAGATACAACATAAATAATATCCCTTGTGAATATGCAGTGGAAGTAAAGAATAGTTTTGGTTTTGAGGGAATAAATATATATATATATATATAAATAAAAAAAGTTTTAAAAAATGATATATATATATATATATATACATATACATATTTTTAATTCGACGTATATATTTATGTAATATTTTTACATAATTATGTCATTTTATTAATTACAATTTGTGGGACCTGCCTGATGACCCAGGCAGAAAGTCCAGAGAATTTAATTTGCTAGCACTCTATTTAACCCTGTAACTTTCCAAGACACCATAAAACCTGTACACGGGGGTACTGTTTTACTCGGGAGACTTCGCTGAACACAAATTTTAGTGTTTCAAAACAAAAAAGGATATAACAACTATGATATCAGTTTTTGCATTTTTCACACACAAATGGCACTTACGATATAATTATCGTGATAAGTTTTACAGTTTTGAAAGACTAATATTTGTGCTCAGCGAAGTCTCCTGAGTATAACAGTACCCCTCATGTACAGGTTTAATTATGTTTTCAAAAGTTATAAAGTCAAATATAAGGCTTGTGTTTTATTTTTATTTATTTTTTTATTTTCTTCTTTCCAATTCAGGTTTTTTTTTTGCCTTTTTTTTTTTTTATTTTTGAGTGCATAGAGAAAAAACGGTTACAAATGCATTTGACATGCCCCAACAGCATGTGCTCACTATTTAACAGTTAACATCGGTAAACTGAGGCATGGCATGGGAAAACAATGCACATTTTTATATATTATGACACGAAGGCTAGTTGTGACTATAAATGGTTATGAGTTAAGAAAAGTAAATGTAAATAACGACTTAATATATAAGTGGTTAGCATGATACACAGATTATACCTGTTTGATTTGATTTTATGTATAGTGAGATGCCTGTCAGGTACAGCTGTCTAAGTATTAAACTATAGCCTGTCATATACAAGAAAATCTTAGTAGGTTAATCCCTTAAGGACCAGACTTCTGTAATAAAAGGGACCCATGACATGTCACACACGCCATGTGTCCCCAAGGGGCTACACAAGGTAAAACAGTGTTTCTACAATGTCTACATGTTAGTTGCATCGCTTAATGTAAGATTGCTATGTCTGAACAAATATGGAGAACAAAGAATAAAAAGGTTCTGGTAATAGCCAGCGGTTGTACTTTAACTATAAACTATAGCACGCTTGTAATTGCTATATTGTAGCCTAAGAGTGAGGTTGTGCTCGCTGTTCCTGTGTCTCTCTGTGGGACGTCTATCGGTCTCGGTGAGGCAGATGGTCTATATGAGTCTTGGTGTCGACTGACCTTTAAAGAGCTGTTATGTGGCCAGCCTTGCTGTGTCGTGGGTCCCTGCAGTGTGGTGGGTCCCTCCCCTCCCCCCCTTCCCCTGTTCCCTGTATCGCTCACCCTACCCAGTCACTCCTCCTGTCTTAGGTAGGGGCCATGTGGCGAAAAGATTGGGTACGAGGAGTCTGAGTCTGTGGCTCCGAATGTACGATATCAAGTATGCGTCTCTGAGGGAAGAATTAAATTAAGAGAGAAAAACAAAAGGTGGAAAGCATTGAAAGCAACGAGTAATTAAAAGTTTGAAACTTGAGGGTCTATAATGGGCTTGGTTCTCCCAATTGTCACCAGTACGTCCATCGGGTAAGCGTGTAATCGGCACTCCTGCGTTCAGACAGTCCTATGGGGGGTTCTGTGGACGCAGCCTTCTCAGCACCGCTGCCATCTCAGGGCTTCTCTCCTGTTCAATGTTGTCGCCGGTGACACTTGGGGCGTTGTTTCTCCCTTGTCCAGGGGGTATGGGTTGTTGGAGTCGGAGCTCCTGCAGAAAGTTCTCTGGGTCCTCCTCTGCCGATAGCGAGAGAACTCTGTCTCCGTGTGGGACTACTAGGGTGCCCGAGACACCCCATTGATATCTGATGCCAAGATCTCTCAACTGCCGGGTGATTGGCAGAAATCTTCTTCTTTCAAGCAGGGTTGTAAATGGTAGGTCATCAAATACCTTGACCTGGATGTTATCCACGGTGGTGGCAGGCTCTTTCGTTGAGTGGGCCATGATAGCCGCTTTAACTGAAATGTCCCGGGTTATGGCTATAATGTCCCTGGGTGCGTCAGCCGGAGCGGCTATGGCCTTCCGGATCCTGAATGCCGCTGTGATGGGCCATGTTTCGCCAATTTTCTCAGCACCCATAGCGATCGCCATTTTGTTGGTGAACTCCAGCAAGGCTTCTGGGCCTACAGTTTCTGGTGCTCCGCGGATGCGGACGTTTCTCTTACGGTGTCTAGCCTCCATCGCGGTCACAGTGCGGGTAAGTCGTAGGAGTTGTTGAGACAGGGAGGTCACCTGGGTTTGGGTCTCTACGAGTAGTGTGTCTCTATCCCCTTCCCGGTTCTCCGCCGTTCCAAGACGTGTTGCGATCCCGGATATTTCAGTTCGCACCTCTTCCAGGTCTGACTTCAACACCCTCCTTAAATCAAGCAGTAACTTTTTAATATCGCCTTTTGTGGAGGGCGAGTCGTCGGAGTCAGAATCTTCTGTCCGGTACACCATATTGGTGGTCGGAGGGGGGTCCTCTGCATTAGCTGATGCCTCCGATTCACTGGAGCTTCGATTCCTAGTCTGTGCCATCTTAGGCTGTGTCTGCTTTTGCGGCCTATCGAAGGACCGTCTGATATCAGGCAGGTAGGAGCCCTCCAGGCTGGATAGTTTTTTGTGTTTTCTCCCCATCTCAATGCCGGGGGTATCTGGGGCAATAGTAATCTGGGTTTCAGGTCTTTTTGCTGCAATTACGTGGCAATTTGATGTCTTAATAAGTGTGTTTCAGCCGGAGCTCCACACCAGCACGTCTTGTTAGCTGCTCAGCTAGCCGTGTTTTAGTTTTTTCATATGGAAATTCGACTTATTGGTTACGTTGCCTTTGAGACCGTATGGTAGCCCAGGAATGAGAATTACCCCCATGATGGCATACCATTTGCAATAGTTGACAAGCCAAGGTATTGCAAATGGGTTATGTCCAGTCTTTTTCAGTAGCCACTTAGTCACAAACACTTTATATCTTTATATATATCTGTATGTCTAGCGGATTATTCACTAAGCATTGCATAGGTAAAACTATTTATTCTCCATCAAATACCTATGCAACATTCAATCCAGAGGATACTCGTACATATATCACATATAGACAATGATATACAATACAATGTATGTTGGGAATTTGTATTTATTAAGCTTACATAAGGTTATTAATACAAATATTTACAATAGTCACAAAGAGAAACATATAAAATAAATGGGGGGAGGGGGGGAGTGCCAAATATTTGTTTTCCTTCTTTCTCTGTGAGTGTGTGTCTATTAGTTCTCGTGTGTCCCTTAATGTGTATGTGTGCGTGAATCGTCTATCACTGTGTTTGCATCCCTGAACTGGAAATGTATTTATGGATTTTTGTAAATATTGGCAACTATAGGCCGCCTCTTGTACTACAGCCAATCACAGCGCGTCTCTCACCTAACTCGGAGCGGAGAAGGAAGAGAGGTGTAATGTTATTGGACAATACCGTGCCAGGCTTGCAAATGGCAGATCTCCTACAGCCTGGCGTCACGGACTCTTTTGTGAAAGTTTATAGTGATTTCTAGGTGAGTATAATAATGCGATAGGGATTGTATATCAGTTGGGTTACACAGTGAGGGAGGATGGAATGAGTAACTGGTTAAAAGATTTGCAAATATAAACTGTGGTTTATTAACATTTCCTCTGCCATACAGTGTTATAACATGTGCCCAGTGTCAATAATAAATGTCAAAACTTTACAGGTGAAGATGGCGGAGTGCCCAGACATTGCAGGCTGTGAGGAGGGAGGTCTACGTCTCGTATTACAGGCCCTCAGCTCGGGGCCACAGGGTACCCTAGCTGCCCTCAGGGCCATGCAGAGAGTCCCTGGACCAATCCCATGGAAAAACATGACAGACAGGCTGTGTATGGAGGTGCCCATTCTTGGACCAAATGGGGATCTGATTATGTAAGAATTTATTAGACAAACATGATTTATCTGTCCAAGTGGAAGTCACATATTAATTGCATTGGTCACTAATTACTGACAGGCTGGAAGCAAACCCAGTTGTGAGTGCATTAAATAGATAATGCATGAAAAAATATATTATTACAATTAAAAAAAAAAAAATACATATTTTCCCCTTTGATTCTTAGAGCTGTTTCACTGGCACAGGCAAGTGCTCCGTCAGTCAGGAGCTTTTCCTTTTGGTCTTTACAATCTGAAACCAACACTTGTTATTCAGTTATTGCTGTCCAGTTTTGACACACATACACTTGATGATAATACAGAGGTTATTAAAGGGACACTAGTCACCCAGACCACTTCAACTCAATGAAGTGGTCTGGGTTTCAGGTCCCCCAGGTTTTAACCCTTCAGATGTAAAAATAGCAGTTTCTGAGAAACTGCTATTTGCAGGGTTACTCCAGCCTCTAGTGGCTGTCTTCATGACAGCCGCTAGAGGCGCTTCTGCGACGCTGGAAATCGCATTCAGCGTGCAGAACGTCCATAGACAGTAAATATTGATACTGACAGCTCAAAGACTAGTATGCTCAGTATCAGACATTTACCGTCATTTCCCAACATGGGAGTGACAACAAGATGGGAATTGTTAGCAGCACACATGGCATTAGAATCATTGTTTGTACTTTAAAGGGACTCTCCAGTGCCAGGAAAACAAACCGTTTTCTTGGCATTGCAGGTCCCCTCTCCCTCCCACCCCCCATCCCAAGTTGCTGAAGGGGGTTTAACCCCTTAAGGACACATGACATGTGTGACATGTCATGATTCCCTTTTATTCCAGAAGTTTGGTCCTTAAGGGGTTAAACCCCTTCAGTGACTTACCTGTATCCAGCGCCGATGTACCTCGGCGCTGGGTCAGGGTCCGCCCACGCTCATCCTCCTCCACCAACGTCATCCGGCAGAAGTGGTCTGGGCGCCTGGAGTGTCCCTTTAAGTAAAATCTATACCTAGATAATAGAGGCTAGTAAACTGTCCTTCTCCCTTTATTGTCCTTACTGCCCACTAAAAAAAAGTTATCTCACAGTGGCCAAAGCTTAATACGTTGTTTTGTGTGCTCCAATCTCCACTTGTACCCTGTCATTCATATCCAGATTTTCTCACTTTTTCCATGCTAAATTAGAAGTTACACATTTATGTAAGGTATAAATGGAAATCCCTAAGTGGTCTGTGACATAAATAAATAAGTTTATAATACGTGTTTGTGTAAAAGTAGCTCTTATCCTCAAGGTACAAAATAGCCCCCATTTGTACCTCAGTTGTTATTCTTAATATACATTTTTGATTGTTACTTTTTCTACTTAGGAAACCATCACTGCTTCTCCTTCCAAAACAGTCTCAAAGGAATCTCTTCAGCTTTTTGAATGTTGCAGCTCACCTGGTCCCATCCTCATGCCTTCGTTCTTTGGCTGAGGCCATTCTTTTAAACAAAAATTCTTCAGATGAATGGCTACAATATCTCAGCGGATGCCTTCTTAGAGACAAAGAAATGCAGATTTCTACTTCTAGTCCACAGGTGGCAGAACAATTGCAGTTCCTTTGCAAAGGATTATGTCAGAATAGAGATCAGTACTCAAAACTTGGATGGTTCAAACAAAACTTTACATCTAGTCGTCACAAGAGAAAAGTGCATTGTATCGAAGATTCATTCCTGGACGGAGATGACAGGCCCCATAACAAGAAGGTCTGCACAGAGGAGCTGTGTGTAACTTTGTCAAACCCCTACATTTCACAGGAAGAACAGAAAGTAGTCACGGAAGAACCTGAGATGGAAAGACAGGAGCTACCTGAATATGTGAAGGTAGTCTCTTTTATATTTTATATTCCTTATTGTTACTCTTTCCACTGTCACCTTGTTGTCATGGCATTTCCTCCCAAGTGTTCCTATTTAGGAGGGACAATACCTCTTTTGGAACCCAAATCCTTAAATCCCTATTTTCTGTCCTAATGTCCCTCTTTTCTAGGAGCTTCACATTATTGTTGTGTCTGAGTTTATAACAGTTGTGTGTCTTTAAACTACACTACATGTGTTTTATAAATCAGTTTGTGTAAATAAGATGCGCTCCTGTTTTAACTAACATTTTAACAAAAACAGAGAATGTGAGAACAAGCAAAAGCTTAGAGAGAGAGCTCAGGTCTCTAAATTATTTTTACTTATTTGTGCCATTACAAAGAGAACCTATACCATTTGCATATCAGACTGATAAGGGCAGTCCAGAACCAAAATGCAGGCAGGAACTCTCTGCACAAGAGATACAGTAACCCTGGACGATTGTTTCAACCTTCTTTGGGGTTGCTGTATCTCTTGTGCAGAGAGTCTGCCTGCATTTTGGATCGGGGGAGGGGGGGTGGTGGGATGCTCACCCATAGTCTCTCTATCTGCGTGCCCCCCATGTGTGTGGTATGTGTGATGGCTTTGTTTAATGTTTTGTGCGTGGTATCTGTTGGCTTATTGTAATGTGTGGGGTGTGTGCTTGTAATGTGTGTGTTGGCTCTGTGTGCAGGCTGTGTATAATGTTGCAGTGTTCTAATCCTTGGTGAACTAGTGTGGGGTTAAATGTTGCTTGGTAGTCCAGTAGGGAGGAAGTTAAAATTTCTCTCAAATATTGTTCACAAATCAGTCTAAATCTGTGTTAGTGAGCACTTCTCCTTTGCCGAGATAATCCATCCACCTCACAGGTGTGGCATATCAAGATGCTGATTATATTGCACAGGTGTGCCTTAGGCTGGCCACAATAAAAGGCCACTCTAAAATGTGTAGTTTTACTGTATTGGGAGGGTCCGAAAACCAGTCAGGATCTGGTGTGACCACTATTTGCCTCACGCAACACAACTCCTTTGCATAGAGTTGATCAGGTTGTTGATTTTGGCCTGTGGAATGTTGGTCCACTCCTCTTCAATGGCTGTGCGAAGTTGCTGGATATTGGCAAGACCTGGGACACGTTGTTGTATACGCCGATCCAGAGCATCCCAAACATGCTCAATGGGTGACATGTCCTGTGAGTATGCTGGCCATGCAAGAACTGTGATGTTTTCTGTTTCCAGGAATTGTGTACAGATCCTTGCAACATGGGGCCGTGCATTATCATGCTGCAACATGAGGTGATGGTCGTGGATGAATGGCACAACAATGGGCCTCAGGATCTCGTCACGTTATCTCTGTGCATTCAAAATGCCATCGATAAAATGCACCTGTGTTCGTTGTCCATAACATACACCTGCCCATACCATAACCCCACCGCCAACATGGGCCACTCAATCCACAACATTGACATCAGCAAACCACTCACCTACACAACGCCATACACGCTGTCTACCATCTACAGTTAAACCTCTCCAAAGTGCCAGACGCCATCAAATGTGAGCATTTGCTAACTCAAGTCGGTCACAACGACGAACTACAGTCAGGCCGAGGCCGCGATGAGGACGATGAGCACACAGGTGAGCTTCCCTGAGACGGTTTCTGACAGTTTGTGCAGAAATTCTTTGGTTATGCAAACCGATTGTTGCAGCAGCTGTCCAGGTGGCTGGCCTCAGACGATCTTGGAGGTGAAGATGCTGGATGTGGAGGTCCTGGGCTGGTGTGGCTACACGTGGTCTGCGGTTGTGAGGCTGGTTGGATGTACTGGCAAATTCTCTGAAACGCCCTTGGAGACGACTTATGGTAAAGAAATTAACATTCAATTCACGGGCAACAGCTGTGGTGGACATTCCTGCAGTCAGCATGCCAATTGCACGCTCCCTCAAAACTTGTGACATATGTGGCATTGTGCTGTGTCATAAAACTGCACATTTTGGTTTATAATTTTGTTCAGTGTAGTTTACCTTTATGCAGGCAGTAGTATTTTAAACATGTACCTAGCTTGTCCTAGATTATTTTTAACAAATATTTGTAAAATGTTCGACATGCTATCAGTAGGGGTCAAGTCCTGGGGAATAAAGTGTGGGAACTCACCCAAGATTACCCCACCCTCACCCCCAAAAATAATATACACTCGTATGCATATATAAACGCGTACACTCAGACACACACACACACACAGTCACATACACTCACAGAAACACACAAATTATAATTTTTTTAAAATTAAAAAATGTCCTCCCTACCTGGAGAGCTGGGGTCCAGTGGGGCTTCAGTGCGGCAGGCGCCTCTCTCCCTGTCAGAGTTCTCTCTGCTCCCTCTCACCGCGCGGGCTGCCTGCTGATGCTGAGAGCCGGAATATGACGTCATATTCTGGCTCCCGGCATCAGCAAACGGCGCGTAATCAGGCCACCTCTTGGGCCCCCCCATGACAGTGGAAACACAGTGGGGAATTGGGGGTGGCATTTTTTGCCGCCCCTTGAGTGCCTGCAGGAGCAACAGGAACGGCATTCCTGCTGTGAAAAAGTGCAGGAACGCCGTTCCCATGCGTTCCTGCAGGACTCGAGCCCTGGCTATCAGATTTGAAGAATTTTTCAAACTGAGCTTTTCCTGCCTCAGTTTAACAACCTTGCTGTTAATTCACAGTTTAAATGTTTTGTACTTCTTAAAATGTTAAGCTGCATTTTTTTAACTTTACACTCCTTGTTTACATATTTTCAGTGTATTATATCCAACTCTAAAAAGACCAATCCACTAACACATGTTACCTTATTCTTTAAGGCTCAAATACCAAAACTGAAGGAAATTCTACATGGAGATTTGGACACTGAGGTAAAAGTGTAGAGCATAAAAATACAGTTGCATTTTCAGTTCAATTTGGGGAAATCACTTAAAACATTTGTTGTGTTGAACTATTTCCATTGCTTTTATTTTATTTGTTCATTGCAAAAAGCTGAAAATTTGTACATTTATACAATAAACCTGATTTTCAATGGTGGTTGAATCATTTTGATTACAACAGTACATTGGAAATGGATCAACCATTTGACTTTGATTTATTTTTCTTTTTTTCTTCTTTTCTTTTAATTACAGTCATTGAATGATTCATTCCAAGCAGATCTGAAGGACCTTTGTGAGTCATGCAGTCCAGAACAGGTGTAAATACTTGCTGTTGTAAATCTTTTTCTTTTTATCTCCATTTTTTTTACATGTTTTATTTCTCATTAAGTTTAAATAGTTTTTAATTTCCCGTTCTAATTTTTATTTTGGCAGCTGCAAAGCATCTTCTCCCAGTTGAGCATCTCACAGATCTCTCCACAATCTCTCCTCAAGCTCTGTTGCATTCTGCATTCTATCACTCCAGACCTCAGTTATGCACACTCATCTGCATTGGCCAGAAGTCTTTTCCTGGAACAGGTAAATTACTCAAACACAGATTTAATTGGCCTTGATAGTCTGCTGATTCCCATATCTATTTAGCCATATTTTGGGTCATTTTAGAGCTATAATTTTTATATTAGACAATGGGTGTGGTTTATGTTTAATTTTTCAGCTGAATTGAGAACATCCTTGCTCTTATATCATGTGGATTAAAGGGGCACTCCTCCTTAATGTCCCTAATGCCTGAAATACTTCCTTGTCAAATGTATGCACACAATCTCAGTCCCAAGAGCACTGAGTGAGCTGCTTTTAATTCACAACCTGGCTGCAGGCAGTCAGGGAAACTATAAACAGTTAGTGGTGTCCTTAGTATATGTGTCTCTCTGTGTTCTTTCTTTCTAACACAGCTTGCTTTGTTGTTCTGATTATTTAGTACTGTCAGAGTTGTGTGCATACATTTGATAATTAAGTCTTTTTCTGCAGGGAGGTGCAGCTGAAAAGGCTAAATGGTGCAGCATTCTGCCAAACTCATTTTTTTATGCAAAAACTAGAAGGATTTATGTGCATATAAACAATACAGCCAAAACCTATCAAATCTATTAAAGTTGTATTGGTACCAAGAGTGTTCCTTTTTAATGTTTCAATACAACAGTTTTCTTCTGGTGACAGTCTATAAGGTGGAATCACATTTTTAAATATTTGCTGCACTTACTGTTCTCAGTTTTTCAATTTAACTACATAAACCTTGTATCCTACATTTTTGTACTCTAATTTTGTCTTTTTATTTTTATACTCTTAGGCTCTCTCTCTTACTGCTCCTGCTCCTAGACCCATCCTTGCTGCACTCTCAATGTTCTGTATGAAGTATGCTCAAGCAGCATGCTGCATACTTATTGGCCCACTAGTCTTACAGGCTGACACAGGTACTAAGCATTCCAATTATACTTGCTTGCTACAGTAATTTTTCTTGTTTTTAATAACTCTTTGATTCTTTTTTAAAAATCTGATTCATCCATTTCATAAACTTCCTTTTAGCTCTTAACAATAATCTTTGGCAAAGAAAAGGTGAAAATGAGTAAGACAAGCAAAAGAATAAATGTTAATACTGTTCATAAAGCAAATTATTTCATTTTAATCTGAAAGAGGGTGATTTTTTTTTTGTTCTGTTTAAAGAAGACTCAGAAAGAGCTGTGCACCTAATACAGAATATTAAAGGCCTTTCCATGGCCTTTCATTATAATTTGCTCTTTGCAGAATGAGTGAATCACAGTGGGCAGGGTAAAGGGCATTGATTTCTCAAGGAGCTTAAAAGTGGCATTGCGTCTCATAATTTAGAGGACTTATGATAAAATATTTACATTTTAGAAAGTCAGGTTTGATCACTGCTTTGGGGCTGCTTTTCACAGATTGTGAGACGTACAGGGTTATTTGCCATAGTTAGAATTCTCAGTGAATTTTAAAATGAAAGTGAAAATAGGTAAACTGCAAAAATTCTTCAAGATAACTATACATTGAGTTAGGCTACTCCAGCCCCAAATTTGCTATTTTCTTTGAATTCAAACTGTTAGTCTATGGTAAATGACCTTACAAGGGAGCCTCCAAAGTAATCATTTAAAGTGGAGTGTTCCTTTAATATGTGTAAAATGTTTTATAGCCTTAAACTAATGAACAATTATTGAAATATCTTCCCCATTGTTTCTGCGACTACTGTAGGCTCGGTGCATACGGATTTTCTGGGTAGAATGGTTTCTGAGTGCCTTCCGGTAGAACACTTGCCTCAATGTTTTGGGTAAGTGAGTGATAGTATTTATTTATTTTTTCAACAGTCACAGGTTTACTCACTAAAGTGAGATTGCTGGAAATTTCTAGTGAATATGGCCAAAACAGCCAAACTGAAAACCTAAATGGCCCTGAGAATTTTTCTAATTTTGCTATTGTGGCCTAACTTTTATAATTCTCACTTTAGTGAAAAACACAGTTAGCATTACGAATATTTCTTCATTTATTGCATTTATTACACAGCTGTGTTATATGCATATTCTCAACTTGTTTACAATGTTACTGTTTCATTTCCAGCCCTGTTTTAAAAATACCATTTTGTGAAGGTTCTGTCAATGTCTTGCACATGCTACTGGAAAAACAGGTGATATGTAAACACGTTATTATATTTAAAGCTGTCACCCATTTTACATCTACACAGTTAATATATTAAAATGCACTGTATTTCATAGAAATTCTCTACACTTTTTTTTTTCCCTTTTAGCTGTTAAAATTTTATATTCCACCAGCCTAGATCAATTAATTAGCATATATGTAAAGAGTTTGTATTAATCATAGTCCATTGTTTACTGGAGACAGTCAACTTCATAAAGCCCTCTACATAAGTTGAACTGTTGCTTTTTCTGTGATTTGTGTAATAAAAGCCCTTACAATCTACCAAATGTACTGGGATATAATTGAACTGAATCTTCATTTTACATTTAGCTAGATATGGAGTTTTATGTAAATGAATTTTGACGGGAAAAACTATTTTGTAAACCATGCACATCCAAATATGTTCACTATGCCCCTTCCTCTCTTTGTTTCTTTTTTAATCACTCTCATTCTCAGGTGACTATTTCTCGTTCAGACTTCGAACTCCTTCTTCTCTCAATGTGCAATGCTGCAGAAATGTTCTCCAAATCTGTTATGTTCTCGAAGCTACTTCTGAATATCATGAACCGAAATCAGAGCATGGTAAGAAAGTGGTGTAATAGGCAGAAATGGATAATATAATTAAGAGTTTTACTGTCAAAGGAATAGAAAGAGTAGGGATGCATAGAACAGTTATATTGCTAAAATATAACTTTTTTTAGGGAAAATAAATGCTATTGTAGGGATTAATCCTTTTTAAATGCATTATATTAATAAGAATATTGGTATGGTTAAACATGAAACTTCACATTTTACCTAAATAAATCTGAATAGCTAAAATGAGAATAGATGGCTACTTTGGTATGGCTGAGCTTGTCCAACTCGTCATAGGACAGCTATTTTATTATTAGTTTTTTTCATTTAGATCTAATTTGCTAAAATTTGGAGTTTAGTTAATAAACATGATAGATTCCACTGTGATGTATTTGAGTGGGGGTTGACTTATAGCTGTAGGAATGTTTGTAAATCATTTCAGCTATAAGTAACTGACTACAGGGAGGTAAGGACTATTGGACACCCTTGCATTATTATCTATACATGGATAATCCATTGTCATAATGTTTGAAATGTCCCTTTAATCTAAACTTATGGTTAAAGGAACACTCCACACACATAAAGCACTTCAGCTTGCCAAAATGTTTTAGGTATCCGTATCAAGTTCTGATTTTCTTTGAAAACAACAGTTTTTACATAACTGCAGAAACGCCACTTCAGCTTTGAGCCAGACATATTTCTGCTAGAGTTGCCTGACTTCTCCCATAAGTCACAATGTCCCTGTTAGTGTGCACTCATCCAGAGATGCCATTTTAGCTTTGTGTCCTTTCTATCTAAAACTTCTTATTGAACTGTACTACAGAAGTTTATGAACGGGAGAGCCGCTCGCAGCTCAAAATTCTGCACTGGGAAAAAAGGGTTTGTAAAGGCTGCAGGCAAAAGATCTGCAGCTTTTTGCAAGCTGTTTTTAGATATACCAACATAGAGACATACTGCAATACTCTGGTATTTTTGCATGTTAGATATACCAACAAAGAAAAAGAAATGCAGAAATAATGCATGCATTTTTACATTGGTAGTATGTATACTAATTAGTTATAAATGTATTATTTTTTGTCCCATGAAAGGTTAGTTTTGTTTCTTGCCACAGTATTGTTGTTGTTTTTTTTCTTCAGATTCTGCCTTCACACATTGGACTTTTAGCTAATGCAGTTAATGCCAACCAAACATTCATGAAGAAGTCACTTGAAGTGGTTCTGAAAAAGCTGCGAGACACAACATAATTTTCTTCAAAATAATGTTCCATGACATTGCTGCAAAATAAGTGTTAGATATTGAATTGTTTCTGCTGCTACATGTATTAAGTATGATATAATTAAAAGTTGGTTTAAAATGATAAAATATGAAGGGAAGGGAAGCGGGGCCTGACTGCCATGCCTGTCAGATGTGTCCCGAAAGAGCTTGAGGCTTTAGTTTATGTTATTCCTGTTCTTGGGCTGCTTTCTGTCCGATTGGCATTCTAAGCAGAACTACAGACGCTTCTAGCCATGGTCAAGCTCACCATTAGCAACTTTTACTTACCCAAAGTGGACACATTCTGGTTGACAAATCTGAGTGATTTGCGGCCTGGTGTGCCCTGAGGATGGGAGAGGCGGCTGATCTCCCACCTGGAGTGCTCTGAGCTGTACTACTCGCTGGTTGGTGCCCTGCCCTCCCCCCCTCGCCCTTTGGACCAGTGTGGGTGATCCCGGTCTACACCTTGGAGGCTCTCCCACTACACTAAGAGCGTGTTGCAATGCTGCTAGAAAAGGCTATAGCGTGACACACAACATGGCAGACGCCACATGTTTCATCAACCCCTGCGGTGTGAAGTCAAATGTGGTGACCAAATTGTATAAGCTCTCCTACTCCTTTTGGGCAAAGCTGGCTGCCGGCATGCGACCTGCGGCTACAGATATCCTGACCGACAACATGCCTCAGAGTAAGATTTAGAAGAGGACCATGGTTAACTCTCCTGAGCAGACCCTACTTATGTGACGGCACCAGACGAGGCCCATGCTGGTGATAGCTGTGCATAGTTCCCCAAGGAGCAGTGTCCTGAGGTCTAGCTTGGAAATACAAAGGGAACTAAGAGCAACTCTGCCGACATCACCAGGCATACCCTATCTCCATGAAGAGATCCTAAGCCTACTTACCAGTTGGATAATATGCCTGACAGTGGACTTTGCTACCTGGTTACAGTAGCCCTGTAGACTGGGCATCGGCTAGTTATGAGATGGTGCTGCTGTCTGGTATCTTGGATGCCGTAGGAGCTATTAGTCGTGATACCATGCGAGCAGTGTGGTGATCCCTGAATTTAACATTTTTTAGCTACACATTTTAAACCACTCCTATTCCTAGCCTGTTGATCTTCATATAGCTGTTAATTTCCCTTATATTTTTCTTTGTTTTTATATTGCCAGTGCTCTGCACTGTTCTGGTCTTGCACATAACCCTCACAGAGCTCTCTGGGGTGGAATCGTTACTAGAAGTTCAGCATGTTTTCTCTCATTTTATGTTATAATTTAAAAATGTGTAGCCATGCAACTGTCTTTCTATGTCTTGAAATATGTGCTATAGTTGTTGTGGCATAGCAAGCCTCTTTGTATTCTTTATGCACAGCAAAAATAAAGAATAATACAAAAATGAAGGTAACCCTCTCTCTCTCGCTTTGTAATGTTAGTAAGGAGTGTAACCACAGTTGAGTTTGATATATCAGTCACTGGGTCTGCTACCTTACACTTATTGTTTTTTTATGTGTGCCATTGAAATAACTCTGTATACATATGAAAATAATTTTTTTGTGAAAATGTTTCTAGAAACAGAATGGCAAAATGTAACTTTTTTTTTTTTTTTTTAAATAAATGTGGTTACAAGGACGCTGTCACTTTTTGGAAATGACTTCATTGAATAAAACATTGAGATTTACCTATTACTTATGGATAGTGATGTCCCGAACGGTTTGCCACGGACTCATCATTGAGTAAACTTTGACCCTGTACCTCACAGTCAGCAAACACATTCCAGCCAATCAGCAGCAGACCCTCCCTCCCAGACCCTCCCACCTCCTGGACAGCTCACTAAGAATGCAGCTTCACAATGAATGTAAAATGGATGCTGTCCAGGAGGTCGGAGGGTCTGGGAGGGAGGGTCTGCTGCTGATTGGCTGGAATGTGTCTGCTGACTGTGAGGTACAGGGTCAAAGTTTACTCAATGATGAGTCCGTGGCGAACCGTTTGGGACATCACTACTTATGGACTATAGGGTAGTACGGTAATTTATAAAAGAAAAATTAAGCTGCTATATGATGCTCACTAGGGCTGTCTGTCAGGAATACTTTTTGCCTCTGTCAGTTTGGGCCTTAATATGCATGAGCATGCTGCACGCACAATAGGGAATGACCTCTTTACTCCATAGAGAGAGCAATGCTCTGAGTTGTGCATTGGAATTGCTGTGTATAGTTGCTACCATTGTATTGTGATGACTGAAACTTTTCTTTTGTGATAAATTGCTTTACTACATAATTCCCTGCTAGACGAAATGAAAATCTCCCGATTGCAGCATCTCAATCTGATATGGGATTCCTAGGCTAATTAAGAGTTGGAGTCATTATAAAGACAGACCCAACAAGCAGTCCATTGACTGCATTTTATGGTAATATATTTTGAATGCATTAAAATGTATTGTCAAATTTCAAGTACACAGACCCTTTTAATGATTAAGAAGTTTATTTAACAGTCCTGTTCAGACCTGATACAGCCAGGGCACACTATGCAATGAAGGAGAAGCAGAAACATTGTGTTCAACCCCTTAGTGACCAGACCGTTTTTCTATTTTCTTACCGTTAAGGACCAGGGCTGTTTTTACATTTCTGCGGTGTTTGTGTTTAGTGGTAATTTTCCTTTTACTACTGTACTGTACCCACACATATTATATACTGTTTTTCTCGCAATTAAATGGTCTTTCTAAAGATACCATTATTTTCATCATATCATATAATTTACTATAAAAATGTTTTATAAAATATGATGAAAGAATGCAACAAAACACACCTTTTCTAACTTTGACCCCTAAAATCTGTTACGCATCTACAACCACCAAAAAACACGCATGCTAAATAGTTTCTAAATTTTGTCCTGAGTTTAGAAATGCCCAATGTTAACATGTTCTTAGCTTTTTTTGGAAAGTTATAGGGCTATAAGTACAAGTAGCATTTCCAAACCATTTTGGAAAGCCAATCAAAATTTATGCAAGTTACATTGTAACACTGATATCTGTCAGGAATCCATGAATAACCCTTCACATGTATATATTTTTAAAAGAAGACAACCTAAGGTATTAAACTTTGGGGTGTTTTGACTCTTTTCATGCAACCATTTTACCACCAATCTATGCCAAATTTTAAAAAATAAATAATTGATGATTTTTTTTGACACACATAGCAAGAAAACCTGTATGGAGAACTTTAAGGGTTACTGCCAAAGAACACCCCAATCTGTGTTCAACAACATCTGCTGAGTATACTGATATCCCCCCATGTATAGGTGTGTCGAGTTACCCCCACCAAACCATATATTTTCGAAAAGTAGACCCCCTAGGGTATTTAAAATGGTGGTATTTTAACACTTTTCATGCACTTATCCTACCACCAGTCTTGTCAACCTTTTGGGAAGTAATTTTTTTTTTTTCTCACACATTGTACTTTAGGCATGGATTCTCAGCTCCTGTTAAGTGTTACTGCCAAAGAACACCACAATATGTGTTCGGTAACATCTCCTGAGTACACTGATACCACCCGTGTACAGGTGTGTCGGGTTCCCTGAGGGAATGTGCACCCTACCTTATTTGGAGGGTGCACATTCTAGTTTTCCAACTTGGAATTTTCACAGCTGGTCATCATGCACCCATGTCCTATTTGGGACATATTTGAAGCCGGCCAATGTAATTTACCCCCATCAAACCATATATTTTTGAAAAGTAGACACCTTAGGGTATTTCAAATGGTGGTATTTTAACACTTTCCATGCACTAATTCTACCACCAGTCTTTGTCAAACTTTTGGGTAGTCATTTTTTGTGTTATTTTTCTCTCACGTACTTTAGGCATGGATTCTTAGTTAATGTTATGTGTTACTGACAAAGAACACCCCGATATATGTCTTTAGCAACATCTTCCGAGTACAACAGTGCCCCCAATGTACAGGTGTATGGGTTTTTGCAAACTTACAGGGGTCAAATGTAGGACTTTTCCATGTTTGCACATTGAAATTTGTCAGATTGGTTTGCTGGGCAAATGTTGCCTTTGAGACCGTATGGCAGCCAGGAATGAAAATTAACCCCATCATAGCATACCATTTGTAAAAGTAGACAACCCACTGTATTTAAAATGGGATATGTCCAGTCTTTTGTAGTAGCCACTTAGCCACAAACACTTGCCAAAGTTAGCGTTCATAATTGTTTTTGCATTTTTTTTTTTACACAAAAACTGCACTTTTACTGGTGATTTCATCGTCATGATAGGTTTTACACATATTTGTGTTCAGCGAAGTCTCCTGAGTATAACAATACCCCCAATGTACAGATTTTATGGTATTTTGGAAAGTTACAGGGTCAATATAGGTCTTTCCCAATTCAGTTTGCCAGATTGGTGTGCTGGGTCTGTGTTGCCTTTTGAGACCATATGGTAGCCCAGGAATGTGAAATAACCCCATCATGGCATACCATTTTCAAATGTAGACAACCCAGGGTATTTAAAATGGGGGATTTCCAGTCTTTTGTAGTAGCTACTTCGTCATAAACACTGGCCAAAGTTAGCGTTTTTATTTGTTTTTTATAAATGTTATATATATTTATAATATATGTATATAATACGTTTGTGTGTGTGTGTGTATATATATATATATATATACACACACACTTTTATTACCTATATATGTATAATGCATAGATTTCATTATAAGTGTATTTTGAGATATATATGTATATATCTCAAAGTACACATAATGAAATCATATATATGTATAATATATTATTAAATGCTTTCATTATTTTATAATATTATATAAAAAAATTTTTTACTTTTTAGGAGCCTGGGGGACTTTCTGACAGCTCAGACAGTTCCCCTGTTGGCAGCTCCTAGACTCCTATTGCGGCGATGTGATCATGTTGATCACATGGCCCTGGATGGCCGGGGTGGCCGTAGCTGCTGCAGTGGGACTGCTGGGGTCTCCGGCAGTACCCCCCGACCGTGATCGCTGCGGATCACCGGTCCAGCTAAGTCCAGGGCTCTTATTTGCCGCTGTCGTACTAGGTACGTCCGCGGTCCTTAATAACCGCTTTTTTGTCAGACGTACCTAGTACGTCCACGGTCATTAAGGGGATATATATATATATATATATATATATATATATATATATGAAACAAGGGGGGTATGGCTGCACTCACCTGAACATGCATAAATGGGGGTGCTGCTGGGGGCCAAATTATACAATTCACAAGATCCAGCCCACTCCCCTATCCACTAATCAGCAACTTCAATGTTGAAAGATTTTATTTGTTTTTTTTTAAAACTCCTAATCTAGGCAAAAATACTGGGGGTTTAGTTACATTATATGATCATACATTGCATAAGCTTGCCACAACGTCAATGTACCCCATCTTTGGCAGGTCCTACACTAACAGCCTAATGTCTGCTCTTATGAGATTAACCCACTTACTCGGGGAAAAAAATCCATCAGGGGCTCTCTGGAGTACAAGGCTTAAAAGGGACCTGAGATGAGGCACCTGTGACAGGGAGGGGTGCAAAACCAAGGAGTTGGCTAGACTCCCAAATATATATATATATATATATATATATGAAACAAGGGGAGGATACAATACACAAGATCCAGCGCACTCACCTATTCACTTAACGGCAACTTCAATGTTTTTGCCTAGATTAGGTGTTTTTAAAAAAACAAATAAAACCTTTCAACATTGAAGTTGCTGTTTAGTGGATATGTGAGTGCGTTGGATCTTGTGTATTGTATAATTTGTGTGTATGTATATATATATTCATTCTAAGTGTATTTTTATATAAATATCAAAATACAGTTAGAATAAAATTACATATATGTAACTTTTTAACATGTTTAGTTTATTTATTTTTAATTATTAATGTTTTACAATATAACTATACACAATATATATATATATATATATACACACGTGTAATTTTACTCTAAGTGTATTTTTGTATTAAGAAAAAAAATACACTTAGTATGATGTTATATATAAGATGTATAGATGTATATATTTTTTTACATTTATTACCGTTTATTTTTTTAAACTTTTTTCACCAGCAGGGGGACTGCCTGTCAGTTCAGGCAGTTCCCCTGCTGGCAGCACTGTGGACACCTATTGCGGCCATGTGACCACTCTTTTAGAGTGTGGCATATCAAGATGCTGATTGCATTCAAAATGCCATCAATAAAATGCACCTGTGTTCGTTGTCCATAACATACGCCTGCCCATACCACCGCCACCATGGACCACTCGATCCACAACTTTGACATCAGCAAACTGCTCACCCACACAACGCCATACACGCTGTTTGCCATCTGCCATGTACAGTGAAAACCGGGATTCATCCGTGAAAAGAACACCTCTCCAAAGTGCCAGACGCCATCGAATGTGAGCATTTGCCCACTTAAGTCGGTTACGATGGCGAACTGCAGTCAGGTCGAGACTGCGATGAGGATGACGAGCATGCAGATGAGCTTCCCTGAGACAGTTTCTTACAGTTTGTGCAGAAATTCTTTGGTTATGCAAACAGATTATTGCAGCAGCTGTCCAGGTGGCTGGTTTCAGACGATCTTGGAGGTGAAGATGCTGGATGTGGATGTCCTGGGCTGGTGTGGTTACATGTGGCCTGAGGTTGTGAGGCCAGTTGGATGTACTGCCAAATTCTCTGAAACGCCTTTGGAGACTGCTTATGGTAGATATATGAACATTCAATTCACGGGCAAAAGCTCTGGTGGATATTCCTGCAGTCAGCATGCCAATTGCACTCTCCCTCAAAACTTTCTGTGGCATTGTGCTGTGTGATCAAACTGCACATTTTACAGTGGCCTTTTATTGTGGCCAGCCTAAGGCAGACCTGTGCAATAATCATGCTGTCTAAACAGCATCTTGATATGGCACAC